TATTAACTCAAATCCTGGTTTGTAGGTGCTATTGTTCCCATTTTATACAAAAAGAAACTGAGGCACAGAGAGGTTAAATAATTTGCCCAAGGTTACACGGCTAGTAAATGGCAGAGCTGGGGTTCAAACCCAGGTAGTCAGGCACCAAAGTGTGTGTTCTGGAACCACAGCACACACCTGAGCAGTAACTGACCTTCCATATGCAGTTCTAACGCGAGTCATCCTCACCAAGGATGCCTGTAAACGCGAGGCCCTCCAAATACCGACTTTGTTCTTTGTTTCACAGCCAATCATAGCACATTCTCTGAGCACCATCTCTGTCTGCCTAACAAAACCTTTACAGACTATATGAGAGGAAGAGACGGAGTGAGAAGAGAATGTTTTTCTAAGATGCCTTTTCTACTGTTCAGAAATCTCAGCTATCTAAGGAAGCCAGTTTAATGATGTCAGAAAACAGCTTCACGAAACGCGCACAGGCCCCCTGCTGAGTCCAGCGGTCCCAGCGAGGTGGCCTTTGTGAGAGCTGTTCACTGCCCCGGAGGTCTCTGCTATTTATTTATCCCCAGAAAGAAAGATCTGCCTGCCATTCTGAGTCCCACGCTAAGATCCACTCTATCTGAGCAGGCAGGGCAGGATGGGGAGGCACGCCGGACTGCCTCTAAAACATAAATGTCTCCGAGATTGATGGCTTGATGATCTCTTTGGAGATTATATCAAAAATTATTGATTATGGTACTAAGTCGTAGCAAATAGGCTCTGAGGTTGGGAACTAAGTGCTTTCTTTAAAATAATCCAGAAGCAGTAGAATAAATCAATGTGCAGAGCATCTAAAACAGTATAACTCGCATATTGGCTTCATGAATAGCTTGGCTTCAATGTGGAAAAAGCAATAGTACTTTTTAAAAAAACATCTTAACGGTCATCTTGGCATGCTAAGAAAAGGAAGCCAAAGGCTTATTCTAGTATTTACTTTACAGAATTTTATAGAATTTCTAACTTCTAGCATTCATTTATTTTCTAAATCAATGGAAAAAACTGCAAAGTTTTAAATTAATTTGTGCCAGAGAGGGCTTTTTGTTCTTTTTGCAAAGATAAAGATACAAAAATCTTATGAGATATTTTGATTTCAACAACTGAAGCTGACAGGCTTACTCCCGCTCAGTTTTTTGGTGTGAAATCCAAATTTCAGTACACAATAGCACTATTCCTTTTCAGTTTGGTTTGAAGTATGTTTTATTTGCGTAAGATCATTGATTCTGGTGTATAAGAAAAAAATTCCAGCAGTGTATCTTGCTGAAAGAAAAACTCAGTATGTAGAAGTACTAATTTTTGAATAAAGTGAATGATATTTTTTCATATTGTGACAGTATTCTGTGCTTTGAAGGATTCACAGAAGGGTTTGTAAAAGTAACTGTCCCCCAGTGCACTTAAATGTTTACTTGTAAACGGTGAACTACTTAGAGGAGGAAGTAGCACCAGGGAAAGTCAAAAGGTGTCAGAAAACAAAGACCATTATAAAATGATGATACACCACAGCGCTAAAATTGTTACATAACGCGAAGAAAAACTAACTCAGTTAGCACACGTTTGCGTTTGTCATCAGATCTGACCTTGGGAGACCTGAGACCTGGTATTAGGAACATCTCTTCATCTTTATGAGCCTCAGTTTCCTCATCTCTAAACTCAGGAGATTGGACCAGATGATCTTTAAGGCTCCTTTGATTTTCTTGATTCTGTTACCTGAAGTAAGATGTGCTTATTTTTTGGGATTTGGAAGCAGCATATTAAATGCTTCTGGGCCTCTGGTTGTGTCTGTGCCTTCATGTTCTGTTGGGCAAACCAGTATTTTGTGCCCCCTGTGCAGGATGTGCTGTACTGGGAGTGGGAAGAGAATGATGCTCAAATGCGCCTCCTCTCCTCTCATCAGGTTTCCTTCAGTCAAGATTCAGGATGGGGAGAGGAGGAATAAGAATAAGAAGTTTTGTTGAACTGAATTTACCATTTGGGGCGGTTTTCTTCTCTGATGACCATGGTGTCCAGACCCTTTGGGCGAAGTATCAGCAAAACTGCTGTCACACACAGGCAATGCCCTGGGTGTAGAATAGTGAGTGGGAAATGAGGCAGAAACGGAATCTGTATTTCCCCAGAGATGCTGGGAGTAACCCCAGTTTTCTACTTTGAGAGAGTGTAACATGGCCTTGGGTCATTCCCATATTAAAAGCCTTGTCTTATTCCACTGTGTTCTTAATGTACCTAAAAATACATCCTCTACTTTGGAGCATTCTCAGAGGATGAAATCAGAGTCTAAGGATGCATACGGTGTATTATTAAAGCATGTACTAGTTTACATCTGTGATCCCTAAAGAGGGCCCTGTTGCTTCCATGTTTCAGCTGAGTGCGCTCCACAAAGAAGTACCTCCAGTCACACTGGTCCCTGGGGGTTCTTCACTCTCCTAGGTGGGATATCTGAACTCACTGCATTCAAACTACTGCTTTGTATGCTTAGCACGTGAGGCATTTCCTAAGGACAGCTAGCCAGAGGAATAGCATGTGAAATTAACTTCTTTTACAAAAAGTTACCCCATCTTTCTGCTTTTCATGTTTACTATCTTTTCTGCTTATGAAATCCCTATATTAGACTGTACCCTTTCTACTTGCCTACTTAGTATTTTCTAGATACTTCAGCAGATGACAGCAGCAAGGCATATTTCATCCCCAGTGGGAACCAAGTAAATGCATGCCCAGAATTTCGTTTTATGAGAGTCGCCTCCAAGGCTGAGTTGGGAAAAAAATGAGAAAGCCTGTGGAGTGTGGAGAGAGCCTGAGTTCTAATCCAGACTCTGTTACTAGGAAAATGATGTTTGATGGTCTCATCTACACAAAAGGACATATATAACATGTGCCTTGCCAACCTTGGATATGAAAGTGTTTTATAGGCTACAGAAATATATATTTTTTTTTGTGAGGAAGAGCAGCCTTGAGATAACATCTGATGCTGATCCTCCTCTTTTTTTTTTTTTTTTTTTTTGCCGAGGAATATTGGCCCTGAGCTAACATCCATGCCCATTTTCCTCTACTTTATGTGGGACGCCGCCACAGCATGTTGTCACAAGCAGTGCATTGGTGCATGCTCGGGATCCGAACCTGCAAACCCTGGGCCGCCGAAGCTGAGCATGCACACTTAACTGCTTGAGCCACCAGGCTGGCCCCTGAAATAATTTTTTAATATTTTAAAATGTTAAGCATCTGTAGGGTATTTTTCAGCTTGCAGGCAGTAATTGGAACTAGTTAAAATCAGAAAGGAGGTAACCAAACAGAAATACTGAGTGTGTTTTATGCTTTTCCATCAATGATGAATGCTGGCTAGTTCAATAGAAATAAATTATGTCATACGTGCTTCTAAGGGGCCTTAATTATTTCATTCTTGTAACAAATAATTTAGAAAGAATGACGGTGTGCTGGAAAAAAGCACGGATTTTGGAGTAAGGCAGACCAGGGTTTGAGAGCCTGCTGTGCTACTTATATTAGTCGGGCCAATGCTCCAACCAAATAGGTAAACTGTTCTAACTTTCAGTTTTCTAACGTGTGGTTGGGTAAAATAGAACCTGTTGCTTAGGGTTGTTGTAATGATGAAATAGAACAAAGTGGGAAAATGCCTGACATAATGCCTAAGTCATAGCATGCAAAAGGATTCATTTCCCATCCCCTTGTATCTCCACATTCCCCAGAGAGGAGAAGGAGAAAGGGAAGGTGAGGGTCCTGCAGAATATGTCTTGGTGGAAGAACTCATAAATTGGAGGGTTCTAAAAACCTGAGCCATCAGGGTGTAAATAGACTTAACTGTTCCTTGTTAAATAGCCCTTTTGCCCCCCCTCTATTTTAAATAGTTGACAGATTTTACTGGTTAAAAGAGGAAACTGTTTTGATCTTTTAATTTCCATAGTCATACAGGTGTGGTGACTCTGGGAATTTAATAGTGACTGATAAAAATAATTGGAAATAATTCCTTAAATTACTCTTTTAATTCTTTAAATTTTTCTTGCACGCAATCTTTCTCACCTGCCTTGTTCTGAGTAGCGCAGTCCACTGGTGGACATCGCTTAGATCATGCGACTCCTTAGGGATTGTTGTTTCTGCTGTGTTCGTTGCATGATGCTTTGTTCATCCTCATGGTAGTGGATTATTCAGAAGTCTGGATCAGTTTACAAGTCAGAACAACAAAAGACAGTAATCCTTAGAAGCATTTGTTTAAAAGATCATATTTATAAAAGTAATTATGTAACCATTGGTGAACACTGTTAATTGAGGAAGTAGTAGGAAATGCAAATATGCCCCCAAACCTCACAACAGTCTTTTTTAAATGTAAAAATGCAGCTGTACTTATATATGTTTAAATAATAGAATCATACTACATATACTATTTTTTGATCTTTTTTTCACTTAGCATTACATCTTACTGCATCTGAAAATACATATTTTTGAAATCATTATTTTTAATGGCTGCATAGTATTTTATTTTATGAATGTGCCACAAATTATTTGATTCTCTATTGACAGGCAGTATCTTTTCAATTTTTGCATTTTAAACTGTGCTATAAATGTACATTTGTCTAATTATTTCCATAGGATAATTGCCTAGAAGGTAATTCTAAACCAAAGGTAAATGCACTTTTTAAGGTTTCCAGTACATATTTCTGAATTGACCTTCAGAATGCAGTGAATCTTGTACCAATGAACAATCCCGTCAGCAGTGTGAAAGTGTTATTTAAAAAATAATCAAACAAGGTTAAATCCTAGTGATCTTGAATTCCTTATCATCTGGTATGGTTAGGTTTCTAATTTCTTTCTTGTACTGATGTTTTAGTAACAAGAGTTTATAATAAAGTTTTTAAAAAGCACTGTTTCATAACAGTTATTTCCTATTCCTTCTCCCACTTTCCTCTACGTTAATTTATTTTTTCTCTCTCTCTTTTTCCCACTCCAGGATGGAAGTATGATGTGATGGATATAACTATGGGATACTGTGTGGGTACACGGCCTCCTCCTTCCTGCCTTATCCTCCTGCTTCTCAAGCTTTTGGCCACAGTCTCCCAGGGGCTGCCGGGGACCGGGCCCCTGGGCTTCCACTTCACACATTCCATTTATAATGCTACAGTGTATGAGAACTCAGCAGCAAGGACCTACGTCAACAGTCAGAGTAGAATGGGCATCACCTTGATAGATCTGTCTTGGGATATCAAATACAGAATAGTATCTGGGGACGAGGAAGGCTTTTTCAAAGCAGAAGAAGTCATCATTGCAGATTTCTGTTTTCTCAGAATAAGAACTAAAGGTGGCAATTCTGCCATATTGAATAGGGAAATTCAGGACAATTATTTATTGATAGTAAAAGGTTCTGTCAGAGGAGAGGATTTGGAAGCATGGACCAAAGTGAATATACAGGTTTTAGATATGAATGATCTAAGACCGTTATTTTCACCCACAACTTACTCTGTTACTATAGCAGAAAGCACACCTTTAAGGACTAGTGTCGCCCAGGTGACAGCAACAGATGCCGATATCGGTTCCAATGGAGAATTCTACTACTACTTTAAAAACAAAGTTGATCTCTTTTCAGTTCACCCCACCAGTGGTGTCATCTCTTTAAGTGGACGATTAAATTATGATGAGAAGAATAGGTATGATCTGGAAATTTTGGCTGTGGACCGGGGGATGAAACTTTATGGAAACAACGGAGTGAGCAGTACTGCAAAGCTTTATGTTCACATTGAACGTGTAAATGAACACGCTCCAACTATCCACGTGGTCACTCATGTTCCTTTCTCACTGGACAAGGAGCCGACGTATGCGGTGGTGACAGTCGACGACCTAGATGAGGGGGCGAATGGAGAGATTGAGTCTGTTTCCATTGTGGCTGGGGATCCTTTAGATCAGTTCTTCCTGGCTAAGGAAGGAAAGTGGATGAATGAGTTCAAGATTAAGGAGAGAAAGCGGGTTGACTGGAAGAGCTTTCCCTATGGCTACAATCTCACTCTTCAAGCAAAAGATAAGGGGTCACCTCAGAAATTTTCAGCAGTAAAGATAGTCCACATCGCCAACCCCAAAAGAGACACTGTCCCAATTAGATTTGAAAAAGAAATGTACGAGGTGAGCATTAGCGAATTTTCCCCTCCTGGTGTCGTGGTTGCTATAGTAAAATTAAGTCCCGAACCACTAGATGTGGAATACAAATTATCTCCCGGTGAGGATGCACAGTACTTCAAAATTAATCCTCGGTCAGGTCTGATTGTCACAGAACAGCCACTGAATACTATTAAGAAGGAGGTTTATAAACTGGAGGTGACAAACAAGGAAGGAGATTTAAAAGCACAAGTCACTATCAGCATAGAAGATGCCAACGACCACACCCCAGAATTTCAGCAGCCCCTATATGATGCTTTTGTGAATGAAAGTGTTCCAGTGGGTACGAGCATTCTGATGGTTTCAGCTTCTGATAAAGATAAAGGAGAAAATGGGTACATCACTTATAGTATTGCCAGCTTAAATTTGTTACCATTTGCCATCAACCAGTTTACAGGTGTTATTAGCACAACTGAAGAACTGGATTTTGAATCCTCTCCAGAAACTTACAGGTTCATCGTAAGAGCCTCTGACTGGGGTTCACCATACCGCCATGAAAGTGAGGTAAATGTGACTATTCGAATAGGAAATGTCAATGACAACAGCCCTCTCTTTGAAAAAGTGGCTTGCCAGGGAGTTATTTCATATGACTTTCCAGTTGGGGGTCACATCACAGCTGTCTCAGCAATCGATATTGATGAACTTGAACTTGTAAAGTACAAAATCATCTCTGGAAATGAACTTGGTTTCTTTTATTTAAACCCAGACTCTGGTGTTTTACAGCTTAAAAAGTCACTGATGAATTCTGGCATTAAAAATGGTAATTTTGCCCTCAGGATTACAGCAACCGACGGAGAGAATTTTGCAGACCCCATGTCTGTTAACATTTCAGTCCTACATGGGAAGGTATCTTCAAAGAGCTTTAGTTGCAGAGAAACTCGTGTGGCTCAAAAGCTGGCAGAGAAACTACTCATTAAGGCGAAAGCAAATGGGAGGCTGAATTTGGAAGATGGATTTCTTGACTTTTATTCAATTAATAGGCAAGGACCACATTTTGACAAGTCATTTCCTTCAGATGTGGCTGTGAAGGAGAATCTGCCAGTTGGTGCTAACATTCTGAGGATTAAAGCCTATGATGCTGACTCTGGCTTCAATGGAAAGGTGCTATTTACAATATCTGATGGAAATACAGATAGTTGCTTTAATATTGATATGGAGACTGGGCAACTTAAAGTCCTTATGCCTATGGATCGAGAACACACAGACCTCTATCTCCTTAATATCACCATCTATGACTTAGGTAATCCACAAAAATCTTCATGGAGGTTGCTCACCATCAATGTGGAGGATGCTAATGACAATAGCCCAATTTTTCTTCAAGACAGTTACTCAGTTACCATTCTTGAAAGTTCAAGTATCGGTACTGAGATTATTCAAGTGGAAGCCAGAGACAAAGACTTGGGTTCTAATGGTGAGGTGACTTATTCAGTCTTGACAGATACACAGCAGTTTGCCATCAATAGCTCAACTGGAATCGTTTATGTAGCTGACCAGTTGGACCGGGAATCCAAAGCAAACTACTCTTTAAAAATAGAAGCCAGAGACAAGGCAGAAAGTGGCCAGCAGCTGTTTTCGGTTGTCACTCTTAAGGTTTTTTTGGATGATGTCAATGACTGCTCCCCAGCTTTCATTCCTAGTAGCTATAGTGTGAAGGTTCTTGAAGATCTTCCTGTTGGCACTGTCATTGCTTGGCTGGAGACCCATGATCCAGATCTTGGACTAGGGGGTCAAGTGCGCTATTCTTTGGTCAATGACTATAATGGGAGATTTGAAATCGATAAAGCAAGTGGTGCCATTCGCTTGAGCAAAGAGCTTGACTATGAAAAGCAGCAGTTCTATAATCTCACAGTTCGGGCCAAAGACAAAGGGCGGCCTGTCTCTCTGTCATCTGTTTCCTTTGTTGAGGTGGAAGTGGTGGATGTCAATGAAAACCTCCACAATCCCTATTTCCCAGACTTTGCTGTTGTTGGATCTGTAAAAGAAAACTCACGTATTGGAACAAGTGTGCTACAGGTGACTGCCCAAGATGAGGACTCCGGGAGGGATGGAGAGATCCAGTACTCCATCAGGGATGGCAGTGGTCTTGGAAGGTTCAATATAGATGACGAGAGTGGTAAGTTTAATGTTTTGTGCCAGAAGTGCCTCAATCTCTCATGAGTGGTCAACATTGGAAAAGTAAAGGGGTATTCTCACACTAAAATAGAATGGAAAAATGCAGTTGCATTTGGTGCAGAGAGGATGCAAGTAAAAGCTTTTTCTTAGAATGCATTGGTTTGTAAGAAGACCTGTTTATACAGTAATAGCTGTGATTTTCAGTGAGAGTCTCTGTGTTTGTTTTTCTTGTTCAGCATTACTATTACCAGGTGATCTTTTGGTAAGCATAAGTGATTGTCACCTCTGTTGATTGCACTTCTGCCCTTCACCAAATCAAGGGCCCTAATAAAGTAAATTACATTTGAATTGACTTTAAATTAGAAGTGTGAAATGGATTTTCAAATGGATCTTATGTACCAGTCTTTCCCTTTACAGTAATGCTTTGCTGAAGTGATATTGCATTAGTTGCTAGGTCTTTCATGTTTCACAGGCACATCTGCCCCTAAATGACAGGCATTTGCACTGTGTATGCTCCATTACTATATGGAGCTGTGCTTCTACAAACGTTTCCATGATAGACTAGAGGAGGCATGTTGTGGATATTATTTACAAAAAATTGATTTTAAGATTTTGTTTGTAAGAACTGATTTTTTATAGAAACGTTTTTAAATATGGGGCAAAATTGTCCCAATAGTTTCATTGTCCTTTACCTATTTATTTACTCTCCATCATAGATACAGGTATGTCTATATATATTTCTATTCTTATGATTGTCATTATTTGTCTTTAAGTGTACGTGTTCCTGGACACATGCATATGTATGTGTGTTCTTTGATCAGCACTGTGCATCTTTCTAATATTTTTTAGGTTGTAGACATCTCAAGACAGGGGCTGTGTCTTCTCTATTCTTGTGTAAATGGTATTATTAGCACTTCACAGTTTTCAGGGCACATTTATGTATATTAAATCATTTTCTATAACACTCACTGGGTGCTTTGTTCCCAGTAATGATGGTGATGATTAAAAACAGGTATTATAGAGATACTAATGGTACGTCAGTAATACTAGTAAAAGGATTTGAGAAACTGTATTAAATATTGGATAGGAGTTACAAAACTGTATGTACCATCACAAATTTGAACTGTAATTTTTGTATACATGGGCTCTAATTATGGCCAGTGTAAATTGTAAAATTGGTCTCCATAGCCATAATGAAGGAAAAGGCAAATGTCAAGAAAACTGGATTCTGATTTAGCCACATACTCTATTTTATTGTATATAACTTGCCACTTGATTGGCATATATTTTCACCTTTGAAGTATAAAATGAGAAAGGAAGGGAAGTAACTGAGTGTCTTCTCTGTGCTAACACTTGACTACTACTAATTATTGACTTCATCGAATACTTATGATGGGCAACACACTGTATGAAGGGTTTTACAGTCGAGTCTTATTTAATTCTTACAACACCCCCATGAGGTAGAACTAATAATCATCAACTCATGAACTGACATTCAGAGAAGATATATAACTTGGAGCCTAGTTTCAAACTCTGGCTCTAAGTAACTGTAGTATACAATGCTATCTCCCGTCTAAAGACAAGTATTCGCTTCGTTGCATGTTCCTAGATACACTTGAATTTGGTGTTGATCTAAAATCTGTAAGGCAATAAAGTGTTAAATAGGTTTCAAAGTCCTGATGACCCTTGCTCATTGACTGATGGCACTGGCCATTAATCACCCTTCCTTTTTCCTCAGAGTCCCGTTGTTTGTGTGGCTCTCCAGTGAGAGAAGCTTACCTTTAGGACTCAGGTGGATGCGGGTAGGTAGGTCAACAGGAAGGTGTTGGACCGAATCATTAACCATTGCTACCTAGATGACTACATCAAGCCACATTGCATTGTTTTTATTAGGAAGTTTCCTCTCGATGTGGCTTGATGCAGGGAAGAGCAGGAGCAATTTGGTGCGAGTGGCCTAGATTTTCCCCATTTGTAGTGCGTTTTTTTGTTTTCCTCTTGGGTGTTATTTCAGAAAATGTGTGTATAATTTCATCTGATGATATAGCTGCCCTTACAATTCTTGACTCCAAGAGTTTGATATCTTTTGCTTCTATTAAAAAATAACTTACTGCTTTGCATGTGTTCCATTAGATTCTAGATTGTATAAAATAAATTTTGCCATGGATGATAATAATGCCACTTACATTTTGACATTGCTTTGTGATTGAAAAAGCTCTTTTTTGTAAACATTAACTCCTTTGGGTTAAGGAGTAGCTAAGTGAGTTGTGAAGGTCGCATACTCGTTAGAGGATATAGATGGATCTAGAACGTACATCTCTCCTCAGTCCTAACTCAGTGTTCTTTTGTTTGCATTCATTCCACGTGTTTCCAATTTACTTTCCCAGAGCATTTTTAATTTTTAAAACTATAGTAGCAATTTCCTTTTCCCCTTTTCATTTTATTTTGTTCCCTTCTCTTAGAAAGTAAAACTATGTTTTTCCTCTAGATTATAGGAAAAGAGGTTTATTTAGACTTGATGTTGGAATTTTTTATAAAGGTTAGAATTTCCATATAATAATATTCTTAGCCATCTTACTTCCTTTCCTCTCACCTTTTGTGAATTTTAACATCCAAGTCCAAGAAGCTGTTGAGGAATGATTGCCTGGACTTGTGCCAGAGGATGCTAGGCTGAGGAAATATTTGGCAAATGTATGTCCAGCAAGGGAAGTTATCACCATGGTGCCATTGGGTTTGCACTACTGTTGAATGATCCATCAGCTCTTTGCCTCCAAGTGCTAAAAATCATGGCTTGAGCTTGGGCAGAATGAATGGCTATTTAGCCCTGCGGCTGTTACTGAGTCTCACATCCAGACTCTGTTGTCTTCTTCATTTGACCCTTGGGCATAGAATGGCCTAAACTTGTTTGGATTTTTGTCTTTCAAGAGCCTTTAAGTCAGCTGGCGAAGCTTATTTAATGGCTTGCATTGTTTAGTGGTTCTCGAACTTAGGAGTGCACATGAATCACCTGGAGAGTTTGTTAAAGATGCAGATTCCCAGGCCCAATTCCCAAAGATTCCAATTCGATAGGCCTGGGGTAGGAGCCCAGGAATCTTCATTTAAGCACTCCAAGCATTCCTTCTGCCTGTGGTTTGGAAACACTTCCCTAAATTTACTTGGGCTCCTTAAAGAGTATCTACCAGATTATATCTTTTCCGTAAAATCCTTTTCCTCATTCTTTTGAAAGGCAGGGAATTGGACTCATATTTTAACTAAATTTCTTTTCTAGTCAAGTTTTACAATCCAAATAAATCTTCTATTATTCATTAGCAGTGATAGTTTTCTGAATGCCTTCCTGTTTGGATCAAAAATCTATTTCTGTTCTTCAGTAATTGCAGTGCTCCTGTTTTGTGAAACTGCATATTCTGGGATTAGTTGATCCATTTAGTAATTTTATGTTTTGACTTTTTTGGAGCTCAGTGAACAAAACCATACCTTAAAAATTTTTGATCACGCACAGGCATTTAATAAATGTTTAATAATGTTCACAGTAAATGGATTAACTGGGGGGCCCCCACCTATAGTGGATTTGATCACAATTTAAATTACTAGTCTAGAAGATACAATTTAATCATTTTTTCCTTCACAAAGAATGCATTCTTATTCTTTGACACAACAGGAATTCATATTCTTGACTACTCAGAAGTTTTAGAAGGTTTAGAAAGAGCACATTGGATATTTTAAACCATGATTTTCTATTAGATTATTTTGTAAGCTGCAAACTTGAGCAATGATTTCATTGTTTATTTACCTGAGGTTAAAGAAATATTCAATGGAGATAACAATTTCCAGTTCAGCACATTAATCATGGATAATGGGGAAGATATTTTTACTATCCATTATTGCTAATTATATTATTTCTTTCATTTGTCAAGGATTCTTATGTGCCAGGCACTGTGCTAGGTGTTTTGTGGGTGCTATTTCTAATTGTCACAGTAATCCAGCAAGGTAGTGAAACTTACCCACTTAGGGTCACATATCTGGGAGTTGTCAGAGCTGGGATTGGAACTCCAGAAATGAACTCCAAATATCATGTTAGTTCCCCTATTTTCCACTCCAGCATGCCATAATAACCTTGTTAAGCATATGCATTAGTCATATTTTTCTGTATTATTGCTGCGTAACAATCACAAAATTTCAGTGGCTTATGGAAACAGACATTTTTTTTTTCTTGCTCCTGAGTCTGGGGGAACAGTTGAAGCAGCACTTTTGCAGGCTGTGGATGAAATTACAATCTGTTCCACATGTCTTCCCATTCCAGGACTCAGGCTGAAGGAGTCCCCACTATCTGGGATGTGACATTCTCAAAGTGGAAGTCAGGAGCACGGAAGGGCTGATGGAAGCTTGCAGTGCCTCTTAAAGCCTCTGCACAAAACTGGCCCACATTCCATTGGCCAAAGCAGGTCATGGCGCCAAGCTCAACATCGGTGTGGGAGCAGAGAAGAATACTCCTTTTACAGAGGGAGGAGGGGAGAGGAATGAATAACTACTGAGTAATAATATAGCCTGACATAGCATACGACAACTCTCATCGTCTTCATAGTCTATCATTAATTGAATGCTACCTATGTGTAAGCCACTGGGCCTGGCATTAGTGACACAAAGAGCTACAGGTATAAAGCCTGGGCCTTCCATAGTGGGAAATTTCCCAGTCTGTCTGAGAGGATAGAATGCACCTGCAGGCGATGATGCTGGTGGCAACGGCAGCAGTGGTTAACATTTACTGAGCACTATCTATGTGCCGAGTTCTGTGCAAAATGCTTTATACAGATGGTCTCATTCAGTCATCCCATGGGGTAGGGACATTTGTTTCCTTCTTTTTACACATCTAGTGTTTTAAGAAGAAAAACTCACATGCACAACACATTTGCATTTATATTTACCTTTCTTCATATTGAGGCTCTAGCAAGCATTTCTCCAACTTATGTGAGCATAGAACGCTCTTTTTATTCCAAATGTTTTGATAGAATCAGCAGAGGCTTAGGAAACCTAATGTGCACTTGGATTCAAATAGATACCCAAAAGACATATCTCAGATTCATTAAGCACTGTAAAACTAATTACTATTTTTTTGTAAACAGACTATTCCAACAATAAATAAATATAACTTTATAATTACATTCACAAAATTACATTTTGTGCTAGCTCTCTCCTACTGGCTTCTCCAGATCCACTTTCTGCTTTGTGTCCAGGCACCTGAACTCCTTGGCCAGTGGACTCCTTTGCCCCCTGACATCTCTTGGTTCTGCCTGTGAGAATGTAGAGAGGATGAAAGAGAAATAGGTCAGAGTATTTGTCCCTTTGACTCTTTCCACACTGGTTTCTGTGGGCTGGCTGTCTCCCTCTATTGATGGTGGAAACAACTGCCTGCTGTTACCAACCCTGGACTACTGCATCTTTTTTTTTTTTTACTTTCCCTAAATCCTGCTCACACCTTTGTAAATAGTTTATTTACTAAATGCTTCTCAATTAGCCAATTTGAGTGCCATCTGTTTTCTGGCAAGATCCTAACTGATAAAATACTTTTCTTACATAAATATTTTTAAAAGTGATTTTAAGTTTAAAAATATTTCTAAGGCTGATGTTTTCCAGCAATTCCTATTAACCCCAATTTCTGCAATGCTGCTCTG